AGTAAACACCAGTAAACACCAGTAAACACCAGTGCACAGTATATTTGAGGTGTTTTTGGATAACCGCTCAGCACTGCTCTCACACACACACACACACACACACACACACTCACACACACACACACACACACACACACACACACACACACACACACACACACACACACCCTCTCCCTCTGTCTGTCTCTTTCTGACTGATGACTGAACTCATCTGAAAGTAATCTGATTACTGTCCGCTGCGTTGTCATGTTTGTAGCATTGTGTCTGCTTATACCCACGGTGTGAATCACAGACGAGCATCACTTCTCTGCTGTGTGCCTGTGCAGGTCATTACTGATTCATTGAATTTGAATTAGTGTAGTGCATTGTTTGCATCTTGCTTTTAGCAGCTATCTGGCTAAAACAGACGCTGCGGGAATTTATTTGCACATCATATTAGAATAAATCAATTAAGCATTTACAGCTGGGGAAATAATTAGTAGATCCCCTGTAGGATTGGTAAGTTTGCTTAAATTAACAGTCTCTAATTGTTATGCTGGTTTGCTTTTAGTGCAGAGACACAATATCAACCAAAATTCAGAAAAACGCAGTGATGTAAGCATTCGGCTCCCTACCCCTGAATCCTGGCTCCCACAGATGGGCTGAGTGCCCATGTGGCACAGATGTTACCGTAAATTACTTACAGACACTTAAACGTATGTGTCTAAAGCACACCTGTCCACAAAATCAGTTTCTTCCAGTCCGACCTCTCCACCACCGTGAGCAAGACACGAGAGACACGACTGCACCGGCAATAAGACCAAGATGGTGGTGAACAGGTAACAGCTGCTGGTGCAATTATTCCGATTGGAAAAAATAGAAAATGATTCATCAGTCAATCATCAGTCACTCCATGCAAGACCTTGGTCATGTGGTGGATCAGCCCAAAACCTCACAGGGGGAGCGTGTTAATGGTCTAATAGCAGGACCATGGTCAGCAGGAACGCTGAAATCGTGCAGCACCTGCAGTGTCCCCCTGCTTACAAAGGCACAGGGATAGTTCCACCTTTAGCTTGACCGTGAGAAGCTTGGGAGAAAACGCTGTGGTCAGATGAAGCCAAAATCCAGCTCTCTGCCGCCAACTCAAGCCGCCATGTTCAGAGGAAGAGAAATTAGCCAAAGAAGAGCATCCTCACAGGGATGCCTCCCTGAGCAGGGATCTGCTTTCCTCAGCCAGAACGCTAACGTGGGATTGATGCGTCCTGCAGCATGACAGTTATCAAATGTACCACCAAGGGAACAAAGAAGAAACCGAGTGGAGCCAGGCTCCAGACCTCCGTCAAGATCATTTCATATACTTGATGATTACACCGTTCATATGAAGCATTCTTCTACATATTCGGTCTCTTCATTAAAATGAGATCATAAAAATTAAAAACTTTCATTTCAAGTGAGCAAAATTGCAAATTGATCTGTATGAATCTGTTCCAGCTACTGCAGCTGACATTTATAGAGGGATGGAGAGGAAGCTCTTAATACTGGAATGATTTATAGATTGTTTGGCCTTTTAGGGGTTTTACAATATTAATGTAATAATTAAATAATTCGTTTGTCCACAAACACCGGGCAGATCTGTTTTCACCGTTCTTCAGATGAAACCCCCACATGTCCGCGTGGCTACAGTCAAAGCAGTTCATGCTCTGGATTCTAGTTTTGACTGCTGCACACAGGTACTCATCACCATCTGTGCCCATGGCAACACACACTAAGAATATGTCACATTTTTTATATCACCAGTGAGATTTTACTGAAAATGGTCACAAGGTTCCTGCTTCACAGTTTAGCATCGCCAGTGACTTTAGATGATATTCATTGGATAAAATCTCAGGAAGGAGTTTGATAGAGTACAGGGCAGGAAGCTTGAACAAAAGGACATTTAAATAAGTGAATTATTGTAGAGGAAGAGCATTATAGTAAAGAGTCATCCATGGGACGAGAAGCGTGGTTCGTCGCTCCACACAACACCTCTCCACAGCTACAGAGTCCAGTGGAAGTGTGCTTCACTCCATGTGACACATCACTTGGTGACGTAAGGCTCGGATGCATCTGCTCAGCCATGGAAAACTATTCCATGAAGCTCTCTGTTCTTCAGCTAATCTGAAGGTGCAGTCACGTGACTGTAGTGATCTGCAGAAAGCCTCGCTACCACACGATGTGCTTCAGCATCCACTGACTCCACTTTGTGAGTTTGTGTAGCTGCATGTGTGAGTCGCTGTCAGTCCCAGTCGATTCCACTTTGTTACTGATGCAGCAGTCGAGCCCCGCTCCACTGTTAGGACTCTTATTCTATCTGCATAGATACCAGCTGATAATGAGGACAGATGGAGGCAAAACAGAAAAACATAAACCTTTGTCCAGGCGAGAGATGGATCTGCTCTTTCTCAGTTTGATTGTTGGAAACCGAAACTAATGGGAACCAGATGAGGTAACTGTAGCATGTTAGTAAAGCCTAACAGCGCCTTTTTCCTGAGTATTTGTCAGAGAGTTTGGAAACATTAGTCCAAATAGAGTTAAAAGCATCACAGGCAGCCTGTAGCCATGACAGGTCTACACATGATACTTAAGAGTTTAATCTTCTGCACAAGTGTGAGACACTATAAGAACATGCAGAAATAACAATATCACCAAAAAAACACAATAATTATAATAATAATTGTTACTGAATGTGAAAGTGGTAACAGTGTAACCATCACACTCACTAATCGCTGTCTGCACTCTGGGACATGTTTCATAAATCAACTCATGAACAAACAGCCTCTGTTTTCATGTCAGTTGGCTCTCAGTACGTTTGAGCTCAGAATAAATAGATTTCAATGTGTCTTTACTATTTTAGCAAAGAGGAGGAGGAGCTTCTATCCCCAAGCCATCCCCGTCCTAAACCAGAACACGCCCCCCTCCTCTCACAGCATGCGTTAGTGACGGAGGCGGGGCTTACTCCTAACACATCCCAGCCTGACTCGTCTACGACCTTTAACACGCGCTTGCACAATGTACATTTTCACATTTTCAATTTAAAATTTCCAGGATGTCTATTTTACTTCATCATGTAATTTACCTAATTCACTGACTTACACATGATGCCTCCCGTATATATTCATTTAATGTGGAGGAGCGTGTCAGGATACACCTCACTGCATGTTGCACTCGTATAACGATGCATGTGACAAATGCAGGATCTTGAATCCTGAATCTAAAACAACACAGGGGACTGTCCAACCGTCTGCTTCAGCTGCCCGTCTCCTTGGTGAATGTGGTTGGAGCAGAGACTCAAGACTGTGCCATAAAAATACTCACAAATCTGACATGTACAATTTGAGTTTTAAGATTCCCAGGAATTCCATATTCCTACATTTGACCCACTTTGGTGGATGAAAATCCGTCGAATTTGACACAGGTTAGCAGACAACAGTACAGCATATTCTCATTGTGATGTATGTTGAGTCACTTTAGTTAAAGTCATCACATTTATTGCTGTCTAATGTAAAAATGGGCATAAGCGCTGTTATTGCTGAACTGTGACAACAGAATTATAGTGGGAACAAAACATGTTTATTAAATCAATAACTTTACACAACAGAGTGGAGTCAACATGTGAAAGTCTTCAGTACTGTGGTGACGCTTTCACACTCTTACCTTCGTCACAGTTCTCTCCCTTATAACCAGTGTTGCAGATGCAGGCGCCCATTATGCAGATACCATGTCCTCCACAGTGGATGTCAATACACTGGTTGGCCGGCACGTCGCACTCGGTACCTTTCCAACCGCTGTAGCACTGGCAGCGTCCACGAGAGTACTGACCGTTACCGCTGCACAGCACCGGGCAGGACGCTGCACCAGACACATGCATGAAGTCACACTTACTAAATCACCCAAAAAAGGCAGTGAGATAGCTGAACCCTCAAGTTCCCATCAAGCTATGCACTGTGTAAACAACTAAGATGGATTAACCCTTTAAGACCTACCATAGAACCAAGTC